GCAATACACCTGCCAACTGCAAAATGGTCACACTTTGGAGAATGGGTCGGGACAGGGAGAGCAGGAAACTTGGCTTTTGATCCCTATTTGGTCACGAGGCTCCGCTCAGCTCACCCTTCCTCGCAGGGTTGTTGTGAAGCTAAAACGCAGGAAGGGGAAAGAGACTTGCGTAGGCTGCCCTGAGCCTGCTGCTGGGATAAAAATACAATAACTTATGAATGAAATGAAGAGTGCAAATGACCTTGCTAGGTCCAGCTGTGGTTAGACAGAAATCCCTAGCAAGTTGGATAGTGAAGGGTGGTTTTTAAAAAAATATTATTTAATGCTGCAATGTTGTTGTTTCAATGATCTTAAACATATTGTATTTTAGCGTTTATTTTTAAACATACAGTGGTACCTTGGGTTAAGTACAGTGGTACCTCAGGTTAAGTACTTAATTCGTTCTGGAGGTCTGTTCTTATCCTGAAACTGTTCTTAACCTGAAGAACCACTTTAGCTAATGGGGCCTCCTGCTGCCGCCGTGCTGCCATAGCACGATTTCTGTTCTCATCCTGAAGCAAAGTTCTTAACCTGAGGTACTATTTCTGGGTTATCGGAGTCTGTAACCTGAAGCGTATGTAAACTGAAGCGTATGTAACCCGAGGTACCACTGTATTGCATTTTAGCATTTGATGTTTCTCAACTACAGCTGATATACCGTATTTTTTGCTCTATAAGACTCATTTTTTTCCTCCTAAAAAGTAAGGGGAAATGTGTGTGCATCTTATGGAGTGAATGCAGGCTGCGCAGCTATCACAGAAGCCAGAACAGCAAGAGGGATTGCTGCTTTCACAGCGCAGCTATCCCTCTTGCTGTTCTGGCTTCTGAGATTCAGAATATTTTTTTTCTTGTTTTCCTCCTCCAAAAACTAGGTCTGGTGCGTCTTATAGAGCAAAAAATACGGTAAGTAGAGAGAGGAGTGAATGGGAGGGAAGATTGTCTTGCATAGAGGTCATATTTACCTGTGCCAGATTTGTCCTTGCAGACAGGACCTTGTGATGGATAGAGCAAGGAATGTGAGAGCCAATGTGGCGCTGTTTCTAGAATGTTGGACTGGGACGTGGGTTCAAATCCCTATTTGGCCATAAAACTCATTTGGTGACTTTGGGCAGTCTTTCAGCTTACAGGGGGTTTTTTGGGGGGGGGGAATAAAACAGGGAGAAAGATAACAATGCATGCCACCTTGAACTCCTTGCAGGAAAGGTGGAATGCAGATCTAATAATAATACCACCAGTTAAGGTAAAGGTAAAGGAACCCCGGACCATTAGGTCCAGTCGTGGCCGACTCTGGGGTTGCGGCGCTCATCTCGCTTTATTGGCCGAGGGTCATGTGGCCAGCATGACTAAGCCGCTTCTGGCAAACCAGACCAGCGCACAGAAACGCCGTTTACCTTCCCGCCGGAGCGGTACCTATTTATCTACTTGCACTTTGACATGCTTTCAAACTGCTAGGTTGGCAGGAGCAAGGACCGAGCAACGGGAGCTCACCCCGTCACGGGGATTCGAACCGCCAACCTTCTGATCAGCAAGTCCTAGGCTCTGTGGTTTAACCCACAGTACCACCAGTTAGCCTTTCCCAAATGGGCTGCTCTCCATAGATATTAAGTAGTGAGTGGACATAGCAGACAACACAGAGATTTCTCCAAGTAGTTCTTTATAAGTATGCTGGAACTGAACTGAACTGAACAGCTCAGCCGGTCTGCTTTTATAGGGAGCGGCTGTCAACATTGTAACAGCAACACCCCAGGGTTTCCTGCCTAAATTAACTGACGGGGACCCAAGTGAAAACTATATGCACAATACCCCCTGGTGGCCAGGGTGAGAACTTCAACACATAGCACCCCTCCCCACCGAGATAAGGCATTAGTTACAATCATATTAGTTCCATTACATACAGCAAAATCCTTATTGGTTTCAGTAAGGTGCATAACAGCATCTTAAAAAGCAGAGACATCACCTTGCCAACAAAGGTCCATATATTTAAAGCTATGGTTTTCCCAGTAGTGATGTATGGAAGTGAGAGCTGGCCCACAAAGACGGCTGATCGCCGAAGAATTGATGCTTTTGAATTATGGTGCTGGAGGAGACTCTTGAGAGTCCCATGGAATGCAAGAAGATCAAACCTCTCCATTCTGAAGGAAATCAGCCCTGAGTGCTCCCTGGAAGGACAGGTCCTGAAGCTGAGGCTCCAATACTTTGGCCACCTCATGAGAAGAGAAGACTCCCTGGAAAAGACCCTGATGTTGGGAAAGACTGAGGGCACAGGGAGAAGGGGAGGACAGAGGACGAGATGGTTGGACAGTGTTCTCGAAGCTACCAGCATGAGTTTGACCAAACTGCGGGAGGCAGGAGGAAGACAGGAGTGCCTGGCGTGCTCTGGTCCATGGGGTCACAAAGAGTCGGACATGACTAAACGACTAAACAACAACAGGCACATAAGCATATTGATTCCAATTTTACAAGTTCGCAGGCATAGCTTTTTCACTGTTAACAATATCGCCCGTAAGACTCACCATCACATATTAACTGACCCTATTCACCATACAGCTTTACATGTGCAGTTTGTCCGGTGAACATTGTAGCAACAACAACCCAGGGTTTCCCACCTAAATCAGCTGACGTGAACCTGAGCGAAAACTATATACACAATATCCCTGGTGGCCAGGGTGAGAACTTCAACACATAACAATGGATGATGTTGGATTTCCAACCCCAGCCTGTCTGGTCAGGAATGACGTGAGCTACAGTTCAACCACATGTGTAGAAAACACCAGGTTGAGTGAAGCTGCTGTGAGTAAGTAAATAGTCACCGCCTGCTCTTTGACCTCAGCGTTTATGAATCAGAGGTAGACTGCTTTTATAAATGGAGGTTCCCCTCCTGGCTGTTTGGAAAGAGAAGGCGAGTCCTCCAGGACTGGACCACACACCCCTCTGGCCTGGTCTCCAGTGGTTCTCCTGAGAAGCCCTGTAGCAGGTGGCAATGGTTGCTTTTCTGGGTGGCGGCTATTGTGGCTGTTGGCTGAGCAATTGTGGCTAGCGGCCTTAACATCATGAACATAAGAAAGGCCTTGTTGGGTCCTAAGATTTGCCCAGACCTGCAGAAACCAACCCGGTACTGCTAGCCGGTGCTTTTTTTCAAGGAAAATAGGTGCCGGAACTCACCACGAAGTTGTTACCATTAGTTGCCGGGCGACTCCGGGCAGCCCTGAACAGAGGCTGGTTTGGCAACAGCCGCATCCATCGCCCACGGAGGTACAAGCTGTCTCCCTAGCTGGTTTCGGGGCCGGCCCTGGTTCTGGTACCGGTCAAATAAATGCACCCCGCTTCCCTCATTCTCTGAGATTCAGGTAGACGGCTAGGGCATCTTAGAAGGACCCTCGTGGAAACATGTCCACGTGCAATGCTAGAGGCCTGGCTGCAAAGCTTAAAGCCTACTGCTGCTGTACGGGAGATGGACTGAAGAAATAATAATTGGCCCCAGTCCATAGCTCAATTGTGGCTAGGAACAGCTAGGACCTAGGTGGAGTCATAGTAAACAAGTGCAGACTCACACATGCTGGCCAGCTTCCATTTTGACTCAAGATGTTTGTTTTGGGCTTCTCGGAAGTACGTAAAGGCAAGTAGCAGGCAGAGGAAGTGCCAGCCTGCAATGGCGCCCACATGAGAGGGGCTGGAACTACGCTCCGGCTGAATAAAAGCACTGCGGCTAGTTACTGTATTTTTCTGTGTCTAAGATGATGCTTTTTGCTAAAAAAAAAAAATTAGGCAAAAATTGGGTGTCGTCTTAAACACTGATAGTGAATGCAGAGGGGGGACGTGCGATTAATGGCAGCAGCAAGCAGGAAAATGGCAGCGGCGATTGGGCGGGTGATTGGTGGCTGCGGCAAGGTGTGCTGGAGATTGGCTGTGGCTGCAGCAATTGGGCAGGCAATTGGTGGCTGTGGCAAGTGGGCCGGCGGGTATTTTGTGGCGGCGAGTGGGCAGACAATTGGCGGCTGCGGCAAGGTGTGCGATTGGCAGTGGCTGTGGCAAGCGATCGGCAGTGGCGGGCAGGTGGGTGAGCGATTGGTGGAAGTGTCCTCCCCCACGCTCCAAAAAAGCTAAACAACTTAATTTCTTAATTTGGGGTTTTTGAAAAAGGGGGTCGTCTTCAACATGGGGGCATCTTATACATGGAAAAATATAGTATCCACACACCGATCACGGTCTCTGCGCTTCATTTGCTCTAAAAGCTTCCAGAGTACAGTGGTACCTCTGCATGCGAACGGGATCCATTCCGGAGCCCCGTTTGCATCCTGAAGCGAACACAACCTGCGTCTGCACGTGTGCGGGGTCGCGATTCACCGCTTCTGCGCATGCGCGTGACATCATTTTGAGCGTCTGCGCATGCGCGAGTGGTGAAACCCAGAAGTAACGCGAAGCTACTTCAACCCGAGGTATGACTGTATATGTTATCCATCTGTTGGCTTGGCCCGAGCAGAGCAGGTTGTGGCAGGACAACACTTTCTAATAAAACTGAAATATTTAGAGCGCCTATTAAAGTTCTGTCATGGAGATTTAAAGTTCTGTCATGAAGATTAATGGCTTCCTTTTGTGTCATGTTTCTGGGCCGGGCCTGAGCTTTAAAGCTCTGACACAATGTATTTTGGTTTTGCCCTCGTGCTTCACCCACAAATCTCATTCTTTACTGCTGAACCAGAGCAAACTACAACTCATGGAAACTCCAAGTTGCTGTTTGTCTTGATTCAGCATTAAAGAACAGGCTTTCCAGGAGAAAGCAGCAGAGAGAAGAAGAAGAAGAAGAAGAAGAAGAAGAAGAAGAAGAAGAAGAAGAAGAAGAAGAAGGAGAAGAAGAAGAAGAAGAAGAAAGCTTGGACAGGGAGCTTTAAAGCACAAACCTAGAATCATAGAGTTGTGAATGACCCTGAGGACAATCTAGTCCAACCCCAGGAATATGCAGCTGTCTCTTACGGGGATCGAACCTGCAACTTTGGCGTGATCAGCACCACACTTTAACCAACCGAGCCATCTAGCCTGTGTTTAGAAAGCGCAGGGCAATAGGTAAGTTTGGCTGAACCCTTAAACAATAGCCTGTCGCTGCTTCATCCCGGACTGTTAAAGAATCCCGGACCGGAATGAATAGGACTGAACTTTTAAGACTTGGACGAACCAACAGGAAAGGTGCTATTATTCCCCTGGCAGCTGAGCCCAAATCTTCACAGCATGGGGAGTGTATAAAGGGGAGGGAGGAAATGTTTGTTTGGGGCCATAGGCGTAGCTGGGGGGGGGCAGGGAGGGGCAGCTGCAGAAATGGATTGATTATACCTTTCTTTTATTAGAAACCACATCCAAATTCACTGCAAGCGGGTCACACCCAGCAGCTCAGCTTGAAAAGTGTTTAAGGAAGGCATATAAGGATCAGGCTTTTGTGGGTTCAGTTTTCTCTGAAGTTGGCATACTTACAGGACAGAGAATACATAAATCTTATGGGGCAGGCAAGTTGGAAGTGCATTTTAAGCCTTTAACCAGACATCTTCTGGTAGCAGAAATACTAATAGTGGCCGGATCACTAGTCAGACTGCATATTCTGATTCCTCAGATCCCAAGTTTCTTTCCTTTTTAAATATATGCTTAGTTGTAGAGGGTGGGAGGCTTGTGGGGTGTATTGCCGGGCTGCCAGACATTTACCAGGCTGCCATGAGGGGGGAAAATGGGATCTTCTTAGGGAAAGAACATCCATGCTCAGTGGCAGCCTACCTCTGGTGCTGAGGGACACAAGCGAGTGAAGGTCTGTTGGCTCCTGTGCTCTATTTATGGGGCTTTCCCAAAAGCATATGCCTCCCCTGGGGGGCACTGAAATGATCGGGGGGGGTAGTAGCCTTGGGTTCAATGGGGGGGCATTAAATAAAAATAAGGGGGTGGCAAAAGCATAGAGAAAGAAGGGAAGAATAATTTGAGAAGGGTTTGTACGTGTTTGATGTGTTGCGTAATGGCGCCCAATGTAACATGGAGTTAAAGTCGTAGTGATTATTTTCCACATAGATACTCAAAATGCAAGCTAACTGTGTGTGTGTGTGTGTGTGTGTGTGTGTGTGTGTGTGTACAGGCACACACAGTGGTACCTTGGGTTAAGAATTTAATTCGTTCCAGAGGTCCGTTCTTAACCTGAAACTGTTCTTAACCTGAGGTACCACTTTAGCTAATGGGGCCTCCCGCTGCCGCCGCGCCGCCACCACACGATTTCTGTTCTCATCCTGAGGTAAAGTTCTTAACCCGAGGTATTATTTCTGGGTTAGCGGAGTCTGTAACCTGAAGCGTCTGCAACCTGAAGCGTCTGTAACCTGAGGTACCACTGTATGTGTGTGTGTGTGCGTGTGTGTGTGTGTGTGTGTGTGTGTGTGTGTGTACACCAATTGTAAATAGCTTAAGAATGCTGCTGACAAAAATACAATGCAAATTTGTCACTGCATCTTTCTGTTTGTTTGCTTAAAGAAAGTAGATATCTGGGGGGCGGGGGCGGACAGAGGCTGGGTAATTTTTTTTCTGAAAAGGGGGCTGTAGGCCAAATACGTTTGGGACCCTCTGCACTCGATGGAGACCCCCTTTGGGTCTTCTATGCCACCCATCTACTCTCTGGCACTTGGGGTAAATGGGAGCACCACATGGCCCACGCAAAGCCCCCATTTCTGTGCAAACAAAGTGATTAATTAAGCCAGTGATGGCCAAACTCACCCCTCCAGCTGTTTTGGGACTACAGTTCCCATCATCCCTGACCACTGGTCCTGTTAGCTAGGGATGATGGGAGTTGTAGTCCCAAAACAGCTGGAGGGCCAAGTTTGGCCATCACTGAATTAAGCGATCTGGCCTGTTGCAAAATATCGCAGTGTGGAGAGGTGATTAGTTAATGCCTGTTGCGGCTGCTGAATCAGAAGACAGAGAACCCATTGTTTTGTCCCCGTTTGCCCTCTCCTTCCTGAGTTCAGCAGGAGAGGCAGTGCCTCTGAACTGGTTGCAAGCAAGAAGGGTTGGTGGAGCAAGGGCCCCATTAGTCCTAATGGACTGCCGAGCTCATGTTCTGGATTCCAGCCGGCCATGCCCTTTCCCAAGATACTCCGTTCCATTTCCACACCCACACCAAACGCTCCATGTGGGAGGCAGCCTGCCTTTTGAACCTAGGAAAGGAGGAAGAGGAATTGCTGAGGCAAGCCTGAGGAAAGCATGACCCAAGCTCATTTCAAAGTTTGATTCAGACTCCCTGGCCCCAAAAGCAAGGAGTGGCTGTCCTCAAACTCCCCCTAAGGGAGAGGCTGTAGGAGTGCAAATATTCAGAGTGTGGGGTCAGGTGGGATTACTATGAGGAATTATAAAATATGCATCAAGTCATTGTGTCCACGATGAATGCATTGTGTTGACTGGGTTTGATACATTGACAATAATTTCTGATCAAATCCCACAACCCTCTGCATCTCTGGCCATTTCCTCTACTGCCCATCTCTCTCTTCATAAGTCACGTACACAGCCCAGTTGCTTCACCAGGCAGGCTCCTGTGTCATCAAAGATAGTGGGCAAGTTTCTTTGATGTAACTTTCTGATATGTTAATCCCAGGATGTTAATCTTAGGGCGGGGGCGGGAAACAGATCTCACATGAAGGTGATAATGATCTCTGTCCTCCTGGCCACCCTTCTTATCATGTATATTGTTTGTTTATCACCTCCAGGGTTGCCAAATGCTCTCCTTTGCATTTCTGTTCTTTGTTTACCCCGTGCTTAATTAGTTTTGGTAGTTTAACTTTGTTCCCACGTGGGGTTTGTGGAAATGCTCAGAAGAAATCTGATTGGTTCTTACGAACACCCTGCAAAAAGTTCTTTTGTGAATAAAACGACCTGGGCCGAGGGGGGGAGAGAGAGAGAGAGAGAGAGGGAGGGAGGGAGGAAGAGAGAGAGAGAGATTATTATACACACCCTTCCCAGAGTCTTGCTGGTTCAAGCCTCTGTGTGTATTCTTATTACCGGTAATCAGAGTTCAATCTTTCCTTTACTTTGAGAACGCCTCACATGCAGGCAATGGCTAGAACAGGGGAAGACGGAGAGATGAGGAGATGCACAACCTCTGGGTGTGTTAGTGTGTTGTTGTGGTGGTGGTTGTGATGTAGCCATTCCATGCAGCATCAGGAGCAGATCATGGAGATGAAAATGAGCGAAGGCTGCTGGATCAGGCAAATGGTCCATCTTAGTCACGCACCTTGCTCTCACAGTGGCCTGCCTGGTGGCTATGAGAAGGCAGCAAGCAGTATCTGAGCATAAGAGCAACTCCTGGACCCTCAGGGTCTGTTAGTTTCTGTTTTGCCACTGAGCAGCTAAGTCACAAGGCTCTGTTTACATTCCACATATTCCATACTGTTGGAAGTCTCATGGGAGACGGATGTGATGTACTGGTTTCCTGTTCCTTTGTTCCTTTGTTGTTCAGTTGCTCTCTGCTTTCATAGAGGGAGGATGTATTTTTCTTTGCTGTCTGTGTAGCGAGAAATAAAACTCTTTAGCCATGTAGCCATAAATTTCATCACTTCCCTGTGCTGGAAACTCTGCTGAACGGGAATGTGCCTGAGGCCTCATCAAAGGCTCAGGTCGTTAATTCCGAAGGACTCGGCTGGAGGAAAATGAGCTTTATCAGCTTGGCCGAGCGGAGATCCCGACATTTTTGGTTTCGGGTCCAGAAGAACGGCAGAAGAACGGACTGTGGTTATCTTCTTTGTGTGTCATCTCCAACTCTGCAATGCTACTGTTATAAAAGTCATGTTCCACCCTCCCTCTCTGCAAGTCCAGGGAGGTTCCAGACACGCTCCTGGGGTCTGTCGCGGGTGGCGCTGTGGTCTAAACCAATGGGCCTCTTGACCTTTCAAATCTCCAGTCTTTGGTCACACCTGGGATAAGAAGTTGTGGGCGACCCTTGTAATGCTAGCAGCTCTGCCCTTCCCTCAGCCAGCCAGCCAGCCAGGTTTGCGTAAGGCAGCCCTTGCAGCTTACGTTCTGCCTTCGTATCACAAAGAACCCCAAACCCGAGCATTTATTAATCTCTATGGTGGGTGATCCCCCTCCCTATTTCTATAGCACTATTAACTCTCCCCTCCTGTGGCTTCCAGCAAGGCCTGCCATATTTTGAAGAGCAAAAAAAGAGGACACATTTGCCGGCTTCTAATTTTAACTATGGATCGTTATAATGGCTCTAACCGTGAAAGAAAACGACGTGTCCTGGGAAAAGAGGACATATGGCAACCCTATTTCCTCCATGAATTTGTCCAGACGTCTTTTAAAAGCCACTCAGCTTGGTAGGCATCAAAGCCAGACACTCCAAGTGTCCATATTTCCCAGGGATTTACAGAAGTCGTCCCAGTTTCTGATTTGATCCCGGAATACCCCCGCTTTTCCCTAGGACGTCCTTATTTTCACTGGAGAAATGTTGGAGGGTATGGAGTTATGTGACCCCGCTGAGCCAAGGAGATAAGTAACTTTACAACTTTTAGAAGACATCTGAAGGCAGCCCTTAGGGAAGGTTTTTTTTTAAAAAAATGTTTAATGTTTTATTATGTTTTTATATATGCTGAATGCCGCCCAGACTGGGCTACCCAGTCAGATGAGTGGGGTGAATAATAATAATAATAATAATAATAATAATAATAATAATCGCTTGCTGCTCCTTCGCCTCACCCTTCCCTGCGGAGTTCCCTTCTCCAAGTACCTCCCATACCTGGTCTGAGTACTCAAAGAAGGAATTGTAGGTGGGACACGGGTGGCGCTGTGGGTTAAACCACAGAGCCTAGGACTTGCCAATCAGAAGGTTGGCGGTTCGAATCCCCACGACGGGGTGAGCTCCCGTTGCTCGGTCCCTGCTCCTGCCAACCTAGCAGTTCAAAAACACGTCAAAGTGCAAGTAGATAAATTGGTACCACTCTGGCAGGAAGGTAAAGGGCGCTTCCATGCGCTGCTCTGGTTTGCCAGAAGCGGCTTAGTCATGCTGGCCACATGACCCGGA